AAAAGCTGAAAATTAAGAGATGACTGAGTCTGATAACACTGACGGATAAAATACTGACGTCATTTATCAGTTTAAAAACAAAACGTGTAAACTAATGTAATAGTGTGGACGTTACATCACAACACGAGGGGAAATCCTGCCTGTGAACGAGCAGCTGGCCAAAAATACGCCTGCGGTTTATAAAGCGCCGTCGGCCTCGGAGCTGCCGCTGCTGCCGCAGAGCGTTCAGAGCCGGAGGGGAGGACAGGATGTCATCTCAGCCAATCTGATGTCTTTTTCAAAGCTCTGTCACCCTCGGGGCTTTACTTTCAGAGTGGGCTTTAAGGAGATTTTCCAAAGAGAGAGAGAAAATAACTGTTTCGTAAGCGCTGGTGTGTTACTTTTGAATGACTTGTGTGTGTGTGTGTGAGAGAATAAGAGGCTGGAAGAGTCGCTCTCAGTCGTCGGTTCTGTCTCAGAGCTGTGGTTGGTTTTATAATCCTCCAGAAACAGACTCACTGCAGGGTTTAGGCCTGATATCAGCTGATAACAAAAAGTTTACAACTAAATTACAGAATATACATTTATATTCATATCAATAAATATTCATGTCAACGTGGAGGAGGCAGGGTTCATGACCTGTACCGCAGCCAGCCACCGGGGGGGGTGATCCAGATGTTTTGTGAACTGTCATGTTGTCGACGCTGGACACGGGGCTGAATCATTTGTGGTGAACATTTTCCAGAACTTTTGCTAATGTCCAAATGAACCCGTGTGAGAAATGTCTCGGGATGAAGAAGAGGAGCCGTACATGTAGAGGACGAAGACGTCCACTTGGAAAGACGAGGAGGTTTTGGTGATGAGGGCCGACGCCGTGTGGACSAGCTGTAAACAACAACACTGATCTTTACACAGTTTAGACGTCATGTCCCGCCTCCTGCTGCTCTACAGGCTCCACCCCTCGCCTGAACGCCCCCCACATGTTCCTGTTGTTGTGAACGAGTCGACAATCTGCTGCGAGAAAATGTCCAGTCCCAATTTTCCGCGGTTCATGTCTGAAAACAGCTTTTAACAATTAGAAATAATGACCACCGATGACTGTGCAGCTCCTAGCAACAGGACGGTCACAGCCGGCCTTCCTTACAGAACAGCCCCCCTCCCCCGCTGACCCAAACCTGCACCAAAACACAGCAGCACCATCATGTCATTAAGGTTTGAAGCAGCTCGTCACTGACAAGGATGAGTCAGACGGCAGAGACGAAGCAAAGACATCGATGTGTCTGTCTCACAGTTAAACGAGACGCCGCACACACTCGGGAGATGGTTCTTGACTTCTCGAGGATCTCTCAACATCAGTGGGGGCGGCGCTCCGCCACATATTCCTCAGTGAGACGCCATTAATGGAGCTGGAAACAAAGCGAGGGTGTGATCAGACGTCCCGAGCAGCTGCTCCACCTCTCACCTGGATGATGCGGAGGATTTGTTGCTGTTGTGAACGTGTTTGTGCAGAAAACCTCCCGTGAAAGTGTGAAAGGAACTCTGGGTAAACTCCGTACCCAGTTCTCTGGATTTTATCAGAGACATTGATTTGATTTGAGACTCCCTGTAAACTCAACCTTGCATAATGCTAACTCTAACCTAAACCCAGGCTTTACCGAACCTAAACCTTAACCTCAACCTGACCTAAACGGAAACCTTATCTTAAAAAATGTCTTCACCTTAAAATTGAATGATTTACATGGGGACTCGCTTTATGTCCCCATAATTTAACTGAGTAAACTGATTAAGGTCCCTACAACGTGAGTAATACCTGGACCACACACACACACAGCAGCTTCAGTCATTGCACCTGTCAGAGAGCGGGACATTTGCAATGCTAATGACTGTTAATGTGCTGGAGTCAATGTTTTGCATGATGTAAATCTACATTCTGATCAGCGGAGGAGCTAAAGCAGCTCATCGAGGTTTTGCCCACATCACTGTTCTGTGACACAGCTTTTGGTTTTTAGAGGATCTACACTTTCTTCCTCTTGTGAATGATGAATAAAACCACCTTGTTCTTTTGCTGCTACTTCTGGTTACACTGCTGCTTCGCCCTGCCTTGCTCAGAGGCATGTGCAAACGAGAGCAAGGGCAAGAGCAGCTCCCTCTCTCTCTTTCCAGCCAATCGCGGCGCTACGCTGCTGCAGCCGGACCTCCTGCTGAGTTAGACAGAGCTGTGTTACAGCACCACAAACTTTGAAACTGAGAACTGAAGATGTGGCTGCACGCTGAGGCAAGAAGAAAAAAAAAAAAAAAACGTCCCGTCAGGATTTTAGAAACCAGAAAAGGAGTGAAACATGAAAGGCTGACAGAAAGTGAAAAATCTGCATTTTCCATTTGGAGCTGCTGATGGTGCAGCGCCTGCAGCAGGGGTCGCCTGTGGCTGCCACTGACTGTGCTGCACACACGCACACACACACACACACACCTCCTCAGCTAGTTCTGCCTCTGTGTTGATTTACTACATTTCCCAAAATGCCCTTCAACAATCAAGCACTTGACATAGCAGCGTGGCTTCTTGACCTTCAAGGTCTTTACACATCGGGGGGCAATTTTTGAACATGCCCACTGACAACCTCAAATAAATAAGCTGTGAGGACAGATTGTGTCACAGCGAGGAGACGAAGACTGTCCCATTTTAAAGGCTTCTTCAAATGCGGGTAGATCGTTCCCACCTATCACAGGATGTAGTGTTTTTCAGAGAGGTGATGAGGTGCTTGAGAATCAGGCTTGAACTCAACAGTACACATATTAAAAATTTCTTTTCACGTCCAGCTTCAATCCCAGAAATCCTTTGTTTCGTCCTTCTCAGTCTGCCCGGCCCACGAAGACCACCCCCCCCCTCAGAAGGACGCAGCCACTGGGACACAGCTGTATTTTCTCTTCCTTGTAAGATGGGAAATCTCTTCTTCAATTGTCCAATGAAAAGAAGGAGGAGGACAAGGTCAATCATAAAATGAAACTGATGGTCTTATAGTTTCACTTATATATAGTATGTCTATAAATATTCAGGATCTTGGTCTTGAGGTATTCATACCTTCAAGTACTTAGTGATATTGTAGTTTGTGTATTTTCGTACACAGGCCGTCTATGATTGGAGACATTCAATCCAAACCTCCTCGCTGCGTTTTCGTCTCCATCTCACAAAGTGCTCTGTGTTTCCTGTTGTCTGATGGATTTGTCCCTGTGGGATTGTTACATCACTGGAGCAAACTAGAGGCTCTCGAAAGAAGCCTCCTGTTTTAATTGTGATGGACTGAGCCCAAAGCCAGATGCTAATCATCAGTGTTTACAGAAACATTTTCTGAGGCTGCTGGACGTGTTCACTTCACCTTGTTTACAACACAGAAAAACTCCTGATTGGAGACGGAATGTTTCCAATGTGGATTTGCTGTAGATTTGATATTTCATGAGGAAATTTGTGTTTTAAAATACTATACGGGACATTTAATATCACGTGTCATTGAATGTTGTCTTGTGTCTTGCACTGAGGGTGAGCGGAGTCGAGCTCTGAGGCTCATTAACGCAGCATTGCACCCGAGGGAATCCACTGGAACCAGCAGCCCATATTGATCCCAACCCAGAACAACTGAAATATACATGAAGGATTTTCACTGTGGACTCCTTTGTGCAGCCACACCATTATCTAACAGCGTCTGCAGCGGTTCTTTTCATTACTGTCAATATTGTGGCTGCAAACATCGCAGCAGAAATGTTGCTTTAACCGTCTTATTAAGGAAAAAGGTGTTTTTATAAGCAGTGTGAGCTGAAGATCACAGGCAACTCCAGGCATAAAACATACAATGGGAAAACTTAATTTATACTTCATATTATAATGATGATTATAAAGAAAGAGTATATAAAAAAACAACTTAAAATTTCTCTTTACTGAGAGAACAATAGAGCGAGAGTGAAATTTTAATTTGTGTTTGGATGCTTCTTTGGCAACGTGGTTCATCTAACATTGATGCCAATAAAGAAGATTACTGAGACAAATCAGAAAAACATAAAGAGGGAGAGAAACATTAACTTCAATTTTATATAAACAACATCGAAACATAATCTTTAAATCCCCATTTAGTGCCCTCACTTTATAACACTATATAATCTGAATTAAGTAATAAGTGTGTGAATATGAAAACTAAATAAACACAGAAGTTAATATGATTGTAAGTTTATGCTTTTTAACGCCTGTGTTGTATTTTTCAGTTTCAATACAACTTTTTAAGTCGCAGTATTTCAATGCCACAGATGTAGATCATGTAATCGTTGCAGGTTTGCATCCAGATTTCAATATCATCTCATTTTATCCTGTAATATTCTGACTTTTTCCTCGTTAAGTTACAACTTTATTCTTGTGCTGTCATCGTATTTTTCTTTATTGGAGTAAAAATACAACTTTATCCTTAATTCTGATCCAATCCTTCATTTTACGACTTATTTAATGTAATATTATGACTTCTTTTATCATCGACTTTATTCTTGTAATTTTTATTCTCATCAAATAACAATTTTACTCCATTAATAATATGACTTTTTCCTGAATGCCAACTTCAACACAGAACTTGATTCTCATAATATTAGAACTTTTTCTCATTAAATCAATACTTTACTCTCCTTATACCACGAGTTCCTATATGATAACAGTACGACATCAGACTTTCCTCTTCTGTATAACCCTCATACTCTGTCCATGGGGGGGTCAAAAGGGGCCCGACAACATCCCCCCCCCGGGGGCCCGTGGAGGAGCTTTATCCGGCCATGTGCATCTCTCATTTTAAATAATTTATTATTAGTAGAAACTGAAGCTGCTCACTGTTGCACGTCTCCTCTCTGGGTGATGCACATGTCAATAAACATACAATGAACATATAACATGAATATGACCTGAGGGGGGGGGGGGAGAGAGAGAGAGAGAAAGAGAGAGAGAGAGAGAGGGAGGGAGGCTGAATGGAAAGGTAGAGCGACATAGAGGGAGAGTAGGGAGAGAGGGAGTCGCCATTGCTGCCTGGCGGTGGTGAGAGGGGAGGGAGCAGGTTTCGGTTTACAGAACATTCCTCACCCGACAACAGCGAGATCCTCCCGAACACAGGCTGGGACCGCTCGGGACCTCGGCCCCCTCTTCGCCCGGCTGTGGACGGTGTCGCGGGGCCCCTCTCACCGCACACCGAGGACGGCGGACGGGACTCTAGATGCGGGGACGCGTTCTCCTCCTCTCCGTGGTATGTGGAGCAGGGAGCGACCATGCTAATAGGTGGGTGAGGGAATGTATTCTGGGATTCGTTAGCTTCGCTAGCTCTCCCCCTCTGTGTGTGTGTGTGTGTGGGGGGGGGGGGTGGGGGGCTAACCCCGGTGACAGAGTTGCGTTAACCCGGTTTAAATCTAACCCGAGAGTGGAACCGGGTCCGGGCTGTGGCTTTAACCCGGGTTGGGATTCTTTTCCAACCCGCGCTTCGCTAACGCTAGCTAGCTAACTCTCCCGTCACCCGCTCGGCATGCTAGGCTAACTCGGCTAACGCTAGCTAATCGGAATGAGAAAGGTGGGTTTTCTCTCTCCCCCCCACCACCACCACCACCTCCTCCTCCCCCTCCTCCTCCCCCCTCGCTCTCTCACGCTCCTGGGGGATCAGGGCCGAGCCAGACCGAGCCGGGGTTTACCCGTCCTGGTCCCGGGAGGAGCTTCATCCATCGCCGTGTCCGAGCCACGTTAGCCGCGGAGCTTTGACGCATTAACACCGCGTCTGTTCGGTGTTTTTAATCGGAGCTGAACTCACCCATTAACTCCCACAACTCGCCCTCACCCGCTGGAACATCACCCCGAGATGTTTCCCCCCCCCCCCCCCCCCCCCATCTCCACCATTTTAATTGGATTTGTTTTTACCTCCACGCCTTCAGATAGAACATCTCTACTTTCCTCTGTGAGCCTTCACAGCTGAACTCCACATCTGTCCTCGCACATCCAGACTTCATTTTGAAGTTGCTGCAGGTTGAAACGCTCGTGTCCCCGCTAACACACTTGCACCGGGGGGGGGGGGGATGGAGGGGGAGAACCCGGGAGTGCCACCGGACAGATCCTTCAAGTTCAGCGACATGAACGAGGCTGCTGAGGAGCTGGAATCACACACGTCACCAGCTGCTGGTTAACTTTATTTATTCCATCTCAGTGGGTTTGTCCTGGTGCTGCTGCAGATCCCGGTTCCAACTCGGGTTCAAGGTGCAGTCCGGTGGTGGGTCCTCTCTCTCCAGCCTTTTGCAGGCGTTTCACTCTCCTCCTCACACACAGGCTGTTTAAATGTCGAGCTCCAGTGGTTTGTTAAAAGCACAGTTTTTGTGGATAAACAGCAATTAGGGTCTTTGCAGTGCACACTTGTCTGGTGCCGTGATCTCGTTTTAGTGTCCTTAAATCCACAAGGGCTCCCTGAACGAGTCTGTCTATTAGTATTATTATAGTCGGTCGGTGTAGGATTTTTTTTTTTTTAACTCTCTATATAATATCTATATTTATTCCAGAAGCCTGACCTCCAGCTGTGTCCCGCACATCTCAAGAGGTCTTCATCTTTTCAGCTTTTCACTTGTCATGTGTATTGTTAAGGGCCCATGGAAGTGCAGTGTCGGAAGGTGGTGACGTTGTTGATAATGACAACAGCACGTTCACAGGAACGGATTCTCCGGTTCAGGGTTCTGTGTACTCAGTCGAGCTTCACTGAACTTTGAATAAACAGGTGAACGGCTCTTTGTGCAGCAGCAGTGGCTTCAGGTTCTGTGGACCGAGTCCAGCAGCAGGTTCTGTGGACTCAGTCCAGCATCAGGTCTTATTTTGCTGCAGCTCAATTACTGCAGGTTGCTTTTACAATTTCAGAAAAAAAGCTGCAACCAGATTACCACTGGCCAAGCAAACGGCACGTTCCAAACAGGCATCTTTAGAGCGAAGTTACAGATGAGACAGAAATGAAAATAACAATCCACTGTCCAGTTTTCCGTAGGTTGTCTGGTTCTTACATGAAGGCAGGAGATGAGATTTTGTTTAGCAAATAGAGCAGAGATGTTCGGATCCGTCAGAGTTGATAAGCTGAGGCAAACAGCTTCATATCTGTGTCTACGTTAGGACCAGAGCAGGAATCCATATAGACTGAGACTCAACATTAATATCAGCTTCTACAAACCACACCAGGATATCGGTACCGGTGAAGCCTGCGAGGGGTGGCAGGGTCGATCACATGTTGTTCTTACATCCTCAACACTATCGGGAAGGAATGAGTGATGCTTGGTTTCAGATCTGGACCTGAGGCAGACTGGTCATTAGCTGCTTTCAAACATGCACTGAACTCCACTTCTTCCATATTTAATCTGGAGGAGCTGCATGTGTTAACGCAAATGTCCGACTGAGAGGCTCTGCTGACTTTCTCTGTCTGGCCTCCCTGAATATAGTTTGTAGAAATTCAGGGGAAATCAAGTGAGGGGGTATGATGAGGCTTCTAACGCAGCAGACACAGAAATGACAAAACAAAACAGCGATCATTTTCCTTTTTAATACAGAAATGTAGTTTGGATGAAAGTTAAATGGCAGGACACTGTACTTTCTGTATATTTTCTGTATTTTCTGTATATGTTCTGTACTTTCTATATATTTTCTGTATTTTCTGTACTATATTTTGTTGGTGTACAGAATTGTAGCAGTTGCAGGAGGGCTGACCTACACTTTGTAGAAGATGTGCAAATTTTGTAGATTTGTTATAGGACAGTTTCCCGTGGTAATAGTTATTACCAACCTCATAACTACAGTCATTAAGACATTTACCTTGGTCAAAGCCACCTTAAGCTTCAAAATCATTTAGATCACTTCTGAGTCAGATTTATTTTTAAGTCTTCACTGGAAGCAAAGATTATTTATTATGCAATTTCATCATAAATACAATAGTATGGTCCCTGTGTACATTCAATGGAGAGAAACCTAATGAAGACATAATGATTCATGAGTTTGTTATGGTAAGTCATTAAGTAAAGACAATCCTGATTACACACCCAAAGATGACTGACTTTCTGGTTTGTGACTTTGTATTACAACTGCAGTTGTTCTGACGATGACATAGTGGCAGGTAATAGCTGAAAAATCTGAAATCCAGCACCAAGAAATCCCGTGGGGTTTGGTCAGTATGCTGCAAAAAAAAAAAACCCTGCCCTGTCAGACATGATTTATTCTAAGAGTGGAAAAGAAAAAGATCTAATGTTTTCGGGGGAGTCTATTTTCTGTTGGCTCACTTGCTACTTTTTTTCACAGGTTGGATTTTGCTCTTAAGTTTTGATTAATGTCTGTTAGTTGTACCCGAGATCAGAATTTGGGGAAAGGTAATGAGTCATTTAACGTAGATGGAATTCTTTTCTCTGCCAGAGCCACGCTTTATGTTAAGATTGTTGTTTTGTTTTTTTTTTGTTTTAACCTAAAAATCCAGCTGGGTGCAGCTTTGAAAGGTTTCGCAGGCTTGGCAGTGTGCTCTGCTGTGTTTTATAGCTTAACAGCATTTAGTCATCGCTAAAACCAGCTTGCCAAGTGATACCTTAATCCCCCCCGCAGCCCCACAGTCAATAGACTAATTATGATGCAAAAGGCTACTTTTAGCAGGAATGAAATCTGGCCTTTAGCGTCGGCTGTTTGCTGTAACAAGACCATCGTCGGCTCTGCAGGCCGCTGCAGTTTACAGTTAACACATCAGTGCTGCTACCATTCATCTCTTCATACACATTAACATTTATTCATCTCACCGAGTCTCGTATTGACCCTGTGTGCTGACAGCAGAGCGAATGTAGACTTTGATATCGGCTGATTAAAAATGCAAAACAGATGTTAGGAGTTGGGAGACTGCTCCTCTAAAATGCTGTGGTTCGGGGTTAGGAATGTCAGGCTGTAATAATCAGCTGGTTAGTTGATCAACAGGAAATTAATTGATTCCAGGTTTTGTAATTGATGGCGTAAGTCAGTCGCCAAGGAAAGATTCCACGTTTCCTGGTTGTAGTGTCACAGAAATGAGGATTTGCTGGTTTATCATATAATGTTCATGGTTGTTTTTAGTGTTGGATGAAGGATTTACAGAATGTGAACACATCACTTGTACTTTGCTAATTCGTCTTTAGTTTTACCTTAACATTCGGGCCGTGTCTAATCGTATGAGGACGTGTAGTGCTGCTTGTGTTTGAACTTCAGATGTTATTCCCCCTGCCTGCTAAACTCAGGCGTGTCACATGTAACAGCACAGGAGCTATTACAGGGGCTCGTGGTTACGTTTATAAACCTGAAGGACCTGCTGGTCTGTTTGTTCCCTGACGTCATTTCATTTCCGAGGTGTGTCTGAGGGGCAAGGTGCTCCTAATTAAAGGTGTTACATTTTATAGGACATGGTCTGTATGTGACTGAACATATGTGTGTTGTGTGTTCGTTGTCCTGTGAATACGTACATTGGTTTTATAATGACTTTTACGCATCAGATGATTGAATTCAGTGAGTAAAATCCATGTATCCTCCTGGTTTTGGACTGAATCTGTCTCCTGAGTGCTGTAGATACACTGAACTAAAAAAAACTCAGGTGACATCATCACCTTGGCCTCTATAAACAATCAGGGGAAACCTCATTGCTTCGACTCAGTAGACTGGATTCCTGCTGAGGTGCAGTTTCTCAGGCTCAGCGTGCCGTTGTGCTGCAGCTCCAGCTCAGGCAGGCGTAGTGGCTGATTGCCATCGTTCTGTAAAACACAACAATGACTGCAATCCTCTCTGCTTTTATCAGTTATCAGCCTCTAGTTAGGTCATGGTAAGATTCAGGCTCATTTGACTGTGACAGTCTCAGTAATACCGACTGAAAGGTCGCACGGTCAATCAAATGCAGGCTTTTGCCACATTTTAAATGTTTACAATCCGCTATCGCTGAAAATTGGTGTTGTCAGGACTTAACCTGGCTGTTAATGTTAATTAGACGAGGTGCAAACTCAAAGTAATTTCTCTCCACAAATGATCAAGAGCATTAATCAGGATTAATCATCATGACCAGAATGTCGGGCAAAATATAATTTGAGAACAACAGGCAAACTAATCAGGATTATACGTTTAGCCCTGATCACATAGCCCGAGGTTGTGCTGATTATGATAACAAATCTGTGAACTGATTTATTTTCACTGTTTCATTCTCACAGCGAAGCAAATCATTTCTAGGTCAGTGGCTGTCAAAGGGCTGGAGTTGCATGCCATTTTTATCCTGCCTCGGCACAAATTGGTTGAAAGCACTTCTTTTTCTCCGCGAGGGGAAAAGTGACATTGCCGAGCATTGTCCCTGATTGAATTACTCTCTCTTTCTCTTATATAAGTTTCAGCATCGCACTTAAGTTTTTTGCTGCTCAAAAGGCACTTTTGATATTATAATTTTTTTTAATCAAACTTTTACATGTTTTTTAATAAACGAAGGAGGTTTCTTAAAAAAACTATTGTAGTGGCTTAGGATCCGTGAATTTTAATAACACTACATGTAAAGGTGATCAAAAACATTAACTAAGCGTTTAAATTTACATAAAGATTATTTTGTCTTGCACAAGTGTGATAATGTGTTCTTTTGTCAAACTTTCCGATATCTCTATCCAATGCCAGATTAAGATGTCGGATTTGTTGTTTTGAATCCCTTCATTGTGCATGCATGTGTACGCACACGTGTCCCTGGTGGATATGCAGAGAAACAAAACCTAATTATATCACATGTGATAAGGAGACTGAGGTTCTCTGAGGACAAATCAATGCAAGTATGTATTTGTTGGTTTTTGCCTTTATCTCTTCCTAATTGTGAATTCCATGTCTTGCAGGCAGGTGATAAAAGGAGAAGCCGACTGCTCTGTCCCAGCTTAAAGAAGACCGAGGACAGAAACTGAGAGAGACACACACAGAGTTGGAGAAGAATTCACAGCCAATAAGGGAAAATCAGAATGACAGTGTGTCTGTGCCACTGACGAGCAGAACTGGAATGATATCCTGACCCTTTTCCTGGAAGTGACCAAGTTAGCGATGAGCGGGGGGACATAATGGCCAAGAACAAGGATGCGCGCCCCCCGATATTCGCCGTCAGTGTGGTTGGCCTCTCGGGGACAGAGAAAGATAAGGGAAATTGTGGCGTAGGCAAGTCTTGCCTGTGCAATCGGTATGTGCGTCCTGATGCCGACAACTACTACTCGGAGCACACCTCAGTGCTGAGCACAATAGACTTTGGTGGACGTGTGGTTAACAATGACCACTTCCTCTTCTGGGGGGATGTGTCCCATCGAGGGGACGATGGGTTGGACTGTAAAATCCAAGTCATTGAGCAAACAGAGTTCATTGATGACCAGACATTTCTTCCGCATCGGAGCACAAACCTGCAGCCGTACACCAAACGGGCCGCAGCAACCAAGCTTCAGTCAGCAGAGAAGCTTATGTACATCTGCACGGACCAGCTGGGCTTGGAGCAGGACTTTGACCAGAAGCAGATGCCGGATGGGAAGCTGAACATTGACGCCTTTATGCTCTGCATCGATGTCAGCAAGGGTTGCAATAGGAAGTTTGATGACCAGATAAAGTTTGTGAACAGTCTCTACTCTCAAATTGTTAAGTCAAAGAAGCCTATTGTTGTTGCCGCCACAAAATGTGATGAGTGTGTGGACCAGCACCTGAGGGACCTGCAGAACTTTGTTGCCAGCAAGAAAAACCTGATGCTAATTGAGACATCAGCACGCTCAAACGTCAACGTGGAGCTCTGCTTCAATACCCTCATCCAGCAGCTGGATAAAACAAGGGGGAAACCAAAAACTGTGCCATATCTGGAAGCCTATAAAATCCAACGGCAGCTTGTTGCCTCAGTCACAGATCGATTTGACAAATTGATGGTGCACACGGTGAGAGATTACCATACCACGTGGAAAACGGTGATCAATAATATGAAGGGGCAATCCGACTATGATGATTTCATCACTTTGGAGGGCTCAAGGAAAGCGCGCAACATATTCACAAAGCACATTGCACAACTTAAACAGGAGCACATTAAGAGAAGGAGGGAAGAGTACCTGACAACACTACCGAAAACCCTTAATAACCTCCTCAATAACCTGGAGGAGGTTGAACACCTCACATGGCCGGAGGCACAGAGTGTGATCCGGAACCGGCCTGATTTCCAGTACTGGTTTGTGATTCTGGAACATACACCATGGGATGAGACGGACCACATCGACATCAGTGACCGCAGGATACCCTTTGACCTTCTCGATACACCAGATGGTGAGAGAATTTACCGAAGCCACGTCCAACACCTGCTGTCAGAGAAGAGAAGGGTGGAGATGAAAGATAGGTTCAAGAAGACACTCGACAGGGTTCATTTTATCAGTCCAGGCCAGCCTTGGGAGGAAGTCATGTGCTTTGTCATGGAGGACGAAGCATACAAGTACATCACAGAATCAGATAGGAGGGATGTTTACTGCAGACACCAGCAGGAAATTGTTGAAAGGGCCAAAGAGGATTTTCAGGAAATGCTTTTTGAGCATGCTGAGCTATTCTATGACTTGGATCTGAATGCCACCCCCAGCTGCGACAAGATGAGTGAAATTCACAGTGTCCTGAATGAGGAGCCCAGATACAGAGCGCTGCAGAAGCTTGCCCCAGATAGAGAGTCACTCCTTCTCAAACACATTGGGTTTGTTTACCATCCTACTAAGGAGACGTGTCTGAGCGGGCAGAATTGTGTTGATCTGAAAGTGGAGCAGGTTTTGGCAAACAGGCTGGTACAGCTCGACCATGGACGCTCTAATCTCTACTATAACAGTGCCAACATCGATAAGATCAACCTCTGCCTCCTGGGAAGGGAGGGTCTCTCACAGGAACTGGCCAATGAGATCCGAGCTCAGTCCACAGATGATGAGTATACACTTGATGGTAAAATTTACGAATTGAAGCTTCTTCCTGTGGATGTCAACTCAACTCTGCTCTTCAGCCATACATGGGTCACCACTTTCAAGCCACATGGTTGCTTTTGTGTCTTCAACTCCATAGAGTCTCTCAACTGTATTGGAGATTGCATAGGCAGGATCAGAGCAGAGATAGCTCAGAGTAGGAGAGATAGATTTGCTCAGCCGCTCCCGTTCATTCTCATCCTGGCAAATCAGAGGGACAGTGTTTGCAAAAACATACCTATCCTGAGGCACCAGGGCCAACAGCTGGCAAACAAGCTGCAGTGCACCTTTGTCGACATCCCCTCTGGGGCCTTTCCACGCAAATTCACTGAGTTCCAAGTCAAGCAGGGTCTCCGAGCAGTGCTGGAGGGGCTAAAGCATAACTTTGATGTCTTGGCTCCACTGCCCTCAATCAAAGACATGTCAGAGACGGACCTTAGGATAGTGATGTGCGCCATGTGCTGGGATCCTTTCAGCGTTGACCTCATCCTCTCGCCTTTCCTCGACTCGCATTGCTGTAGTGCAGGGCAGCCAGGCCAGAGCAACACGCTGATACTGGACAAGATCATTGGTGACAGCAGGAGGAGGATCCAGGTCACTGTCCTCTCCTATCATTCTGCTATTGGTGTCCGCAAAGATGAACTGGTGCACGGCTACATTTTGGTCTATTCTGCCAAGCGCAAAGCGTCTATGGCGACGCTGCGGGCGTTCTTGGCTGAAGTCCAGGATGTGATTCCTGTTCAGATGGTGGCGATCACAGACAGCCAGGCAGACTTCTTTGAGAATGATGCCATCAAGGAGTTGATGACAGAGGGGGAGCACATTGCCACGGAGATTACCGCTAAGTTTACAGCACTCTACTCGCTGTCACAGTATCATCGACAGACTGAGGTTTTCACTCCCTTCTTCAATGAAGTTCTGGAGAAGAAGCTGGGCATCGAGAGTTCCTTCCTGTTTGACAGCTCGTCACGTGAGTGCACCACTGGTGCCAGTGAAGATGTCTTCCCCACCTCACCCCATAGCCATTCCCCAGCCTACACCACCTATTACCCAGAATCTGATGATGATAACGAAGCCCCACCACCTTATAGTCCAATAGGCGATGATGTTCAGCTTCTCCCCACACCCAGTGAACGGACCAAGTACCGGATCGACCTCGAGGGCAACGAGTATCCAGTCCATAGCACGCCTGTGGGAGACCATGACCGCAACCACAAAGTGCCTCCACCTGTCCGGCCCAAACCAGTGCTCCCCAAGCCTAATGTGAAAAAGCTTGACCCCAACTTGCTTAAAACCATTGAGGCCGGCATGCGAAGTAACCGTAGGATGACTCGTGGCCCAATGACACACTCGGAGGATGTTGAGTCATCAGACAACTATGCAGACCCTGTGGACACCTTGTTAAGGTCCAGGGGGTTCCAAAACGACGACATATATGCCGTGCCTGATGACACACACAGCCGCCTGGTCAAAATAAGAAACTCCTTTGGTGGGTTACATGGCCTCCATGGAGGGGGGGAGGAAGAGAATGGATTCGACCGAAAATCTCAGGCTCGGCGACGGCCGTCGAAATACAAACATCGTTCTAAAATCCTGTTTAGTAAGACAAAGGCCTACCAAAGAAGATTCCAGTCTGACAGTGACGGAGAGGAGTCTGGCCCTGCCACGCAGAAAAAGAAAAAGGGAAGAGCCCACCGGGGCAGCGAAGAAGACCCACTGCTCTCACCTGCTGACCCCTGGAAGGGCGGGATAGACAACCCTGCTATCACCTCCGACCCCGAGCAGGACGACAAGAAGATGAAGAAGAAGAAGACGCCCAAAACACCAAAGGAACCAAAGAAGGTGAGTCTTACTAGTCCTGAATCATGAGCTTTGGAGAGTTTTCAAGAGGATTGTCGAAAGGTCTTTGTAAAGCAGCATTACATAGAAAGAAGAAGCAAGACAGCAAAGATATTATCATCTCCAAGACACTGAGCCAAAGCTTTTTTTTGAGCGAGCTACAGTGCATTGAAAATTAGATTGAGCGTGATATGAGCAGATTTATGTTTTCAAAAGCCGCAGGACTTGTGCCGAGAACAAATTCATCTGAAAATTGATTGGTTGAACTCTCTGCTGAAATAGTTTAGGCCCAGTACAGGCCCTGTTTATTAAATTCTTAATTAATGATGCACAGTTAAGGAGTGCAAGACAGGAGTGCCCTTGTTTAATCTTGGATCAGAAGCTGCATCTGTGATAAGATGCCTTCTTATCCTCTGTAAAGGCTTGTCTGAGTTTGTTTTAGCCGCCATCGTCTACATGTAGACTCCAAGACTCCAACACTGTGCACATAAACAGTTGGCAAGTAAACGTCTATTCTGTAAACAAACACGTGTACAGATAAAGAAACATGTTTGCCATGTTTGAAATACATTTCAGGCACATCCACATAAGATTGAAATCTGAATTATAATACCTAAAGAGTGGATTCTCTATATTTTCCTTTCTTGCCATTTTCAAACAGCATTGCTTACCCAAACCCGTATGAAATTATAACGCTGCATCTAAAGCAGCAACACCTGCTTTTGATGAAAAATGATTTTAGCCACTTGGAAAAAAATAGCAGGTGGTCGGCAGCAACACTTTGTAGCAGTTGGAGTGTTGAGGAAAATAGTCAAAGCATGGCGATTAGTCAGTTTCCTGCAGCCTGAGCACGAACACAATTGGACTTTGACAAACGGAGACGTGCATGCGAGCGAGCACGCTGGCACGCATCAGATAATAGTGTGCAAATCAGTAGAGAAACAGCCTCTGGTGCTACATGAATGCAGGGCATTGTTGGGACATTCAAACTGTCTTTGATAATCAGAGAGGAGAGCGAAAGGAGAACCAGAAGGTACAAAATGGAAGGTGTTTAGTCGCTGTCCCGGCCAATTAGACGAGCCCGAACCGCTGTAGGCATAACAACACTTTGAAGAGCAGAGGAGTGTGGGAAATCAAAGCCGCTTCATCACCTCGTTACTCGTCCCAGCTTCATTCTTGAATAACGGTTTTGTCTGTTGTTGTCGTCTTTGCTTGTCGTCTTCCTCCACATGAACCACCCTTTGCTTTTTTTCCTCTCTTCCATCATCCCACTAACTTTCTTTCTGATCTATTCCCTGATTGTCCTCCTCCTCCTCTTCTTCTCCTCCGATATGATCTGCCTCCTCATCAACCTCTCTCCTCCTCCACCTCTGCTCTCCCTTGTCTTTTTCTCAATTCCCTCTTCTTTCATTCCTTCCCCTTTTTTTTTACTTTCTCTCTGCCTTTCTTTCTCTTCTCCCCTCCATCATGTCATTTGGCTTCTTTCCTCTTTTCCCTTTGCTCAATCTTTTATTTAAATTTGCTATTTCCTCTTGTCTTTATGTTTACCCCCTTTATTTCCTTTTCCCCTCTCCTTCCTGTCTGTTGCATTTCCATCCCCCCTTTCCGCTAATATCCATCCCCCATCATCCTATTTTCTCTTCTGTCTGCCTTCTGTCTTTTTTTTAACCCTGCTGTCATTATCATTCTCCTCACCCTTTTTTTCGAACCATCTCATCCCTATTTTTATTCTCTCGTCACCTTGCAGCCGAAATCCTCCAAGCCCCCCAAGCCTCTGTACCCCCCAACCCGCAGAACCTGGGAGAGCAACTATTTTGGCGTTCCGCTGCAGAGCCTGGTGACCCTGGAGCGACCCATCCCACTCTTTATCGAGAAGTGTGTCGACTACATCGAACGCACAGGTGAGTCGTGCGCTTTCATGCATTTCTTCCTTTGTCTTCTGTGGTTTGTTTTCCTTTTTTGTTCCTTTCTTTCCTCTGCCTCGGTGTTCAGGTGCAGCCACGCTCTCTCTGGTGTTTTGTAACTCTCTCAAGGTACAGCCGGTTTGTTTTGACATGCAAACGCTTTGTGGTTGTTCGCTGTCGATACGCCTCTCATGTCGTTCCAAATGAGTTATTGAGTGAAGAGAGGAAAGGATGGATGGATGGAGGGGGTGTGTGGTGAAAGAAGTGCATGAATCTAGATTTGAAGGAGATTTACTTCTCGGGTCTGATGTCACCCACCAAACATGCATCTTCGGGCCTGTCTGCCAGACTGCCAGTCAGAACCAGTCGATTTCAAATTGATGAGTTCTACTGGCATTGGCATTTGATGTGTTGCCAAAGCGCTGCTGATATGACGACAAAAAAAGATTGGAAAGATGAGCAGCATCAAAAAAGTAATTAAGGAATGAAAGTGGAGAGATTCACACAAGTATGTGCAATCCATCAATTGAAAAGAAAGGAGAGAAAGAAAATTAGTTGGTTCATAGATAGTGGAAGAAAAAGTTGCAGATGTAAAAAAAATGTCGACTGGACGGAATCTGCTGAGAGCTACTTCATCAAAATTAATAAAAATAATGTACCTACTTTCTGTGTGGAGCTACTTCCTTCAAAGTGCTGGGGTTTGTTTATGTGCATGACTCTGCAACACAAGGCGGTAAATATTCATAGACTGCTATTTATAGCTAATGATTTATGGTTAGCAATTTTTAGCTGTAGGTTCTCAATGCAAGAATGCAACTGTAGCCTGCCGTGTGTATATTACATAACGATTGTGTCTGCGTGTAGCATCACATAAACAGGCAGATGCAGGATACGTTTATTTTCACTCTCTGTTTTTGAAGAAGTGATCAGTGATGTCATTAATCTCTTCTATTATCAGGAATTATTTCCTCTACACCAAACAACTAAGTGCCCATAAGCAAGGCACCATTAACTCCCTTTGACATCAGTGGTTGTATCAGGGGAGCAGACCTGCTCAGAGAACTTGTTCTGGACGAAAAAAGGTGTATAATAAGATGTGTGGCCTGTTTGGACTCGTGTAGTAGGGGCACAGGCCTCCAGTGCATGCTGGGTATGTGTTTGGCTTCCTGCCCAGCTGTTGTGATGACGGCCTCTCCCAAAGTTTTGAGAGATTCCTGTGTAAAGTCATGGATTAGTGTGATAGATATTTATACACTGTCTCATGCACGCTTGTTCCAAAGTGTCTCTGAACCTTTTTAAAGTTGTTTATTTTCTTTCTGTTGGAGTTTCAAACCTCCTGTACTGTTATTAATGCTTGGCTCTACACCTTTAGCCACATAAGATCTCCTTATTTTACTTATAAAATCCCCAAACTACTCAGCCAAAGTGTTACTTCGTTCCTTCTAACCACTGAAATAAATATTTTAAACAGATTCAATATTTCATGAGTTTGTTGCATAATGTAGTTACACATGGTCCAATGCTCTTTTTTCCATGTTTAATACTTTGAATGAGCTCTAAGAAGCAAAAGTGTCTCCTGCTGAATGACCTCAAAGCAACTTCTCTGAGTTAGGTTCTTAAAACCATCTGAAGTTCAGCTCTCGTGACTGTGGACGTGAGACTCCTTAACGTTATAAGATCTTGTTTTGAGGGCAGATTTGTAATTGTACCGACTGTGGCTAACTGAACGGAAGAACCCGGCAGCTGTAGACATTAAAATCACTGAAAAGGTATCACCTCACTCTTCTCCTCCATCTGAACCCATACGTGCAGTGAACATATAGTATGTACTTCATATATTCATGCATTTCCTGTCTTCTCACAGTTCACTCTGAGTGCGTGTGCCCGGTTCTGTTCTGAAGAGCTAGTGTTTGTGCATGAGCTCGTTTGGGGGCTGTTAATTCCTGTCCTGAAAATCCCTTCCGAATATGTTTTGATATTCAGCTGAATCTACATGAGCCTGTTGGTGACTGCCAACCAAATTTAGGATTAATCCCAGCACTGTGCTTGTGTGTGTGTGTGCGTGCGCCTGACAGCAGTGTATGAGAGATTTCATGGCCAGTGCTGTGAAACCCTCTAAGTCCAGACGGCCTGTTGGGTGGATTTTAACAGCTTTTTCCCTCCCTTCTTTTCTGGAATATCATTTCCCACCAGACGCAGCGAGAACATCCTTGTGCCCGTGTTTTTTAAAGCCTGGTGTTGTATAAGGTGTTCGTATCCAGGCGGCTGAAGAGTTTTCACAACTTGATGAGACCCTTCAGGTTGTTTCCTTGTGAACACATAAGCCTCTCTGCTGTTGTCTGCGTTTAATCCGTGCGTTACAACATATTTTGTTTTATGGCTGGAAGGGTGGGGTTGTCCTGTGAATGTGGAGAGTTGTAAGTAATTGTGGGTGTTGTCATGGCTCAAACCTCCTGACATCCATCCTGCTAATGTCTCTTAAATTAAGAGACTGAACCAGATCCAGAGCTGCTGCTGTGGCTGACCTTTGACCTCTGAGCAGAGGAGGAGGAAAGAGACGCTCCCAGTGGGAACCATTAAAACGTCACCGTTGCATTGTGTTATTGTTGTTTATCAACACTTGTCACTTTAACGGGGGTGAAAGTCAAAATGTTTCTGCTTATTGATCTGGTGTTTTAATGGTACACACATCAGTTCTAATTATTTAAGAGAAAAACAACTTTTGGACATTTTATAGACTAATTAATGAATTGCACAAATACGGCCGATATGATACATTATTTACTTTATCAATAAACCAGCAGGTACAGACAGAGACTTTAATCAACTATACACTATAAGAATGAACCGTAGTTGCAGCAAAGGAACGTCACGGCTCCCGTCTTTGGTTGTAGCGAGGAGGGCCAGACTGCTGGTTGGGTGAGTTTAACCACATGTAATAAGCCGCCAGCCGAGAGGAACAGAGGCGGAGGGGTGACGATAGCTGTTTGTGGTGTCTGTGGTTTCAGACCAGAAAGTGTGAGAGAGGAAAAAAATGTGATTTTGTGAGTGTGTGTGAGATGGAGCGCGGCTGTAAATGTGAGAGAAAATCGTGGAACTGTGATTCTCCGCGTGACCTTTCATTCGCTGGGTTTGCGTAAGTGATAAGACTCGTGTGATTTGTCCAACAACTCCTTCCAGTCTGGTCGCTTCAATGCAGATCTCAGATTTTTCTGTGGTTTTATGTTGAAAACCGTACACGACATTTTCCAGGAGCCTTGTTTTTAATTAAGTTTGAAACTGGGTAGAGTCAAAAGAAGAGTTTAAGAAATTGAGATAAAATGACTTTGTTAAATATGGACAATGTTTGTTCTGTGCTCGTGGCCTCCCTGTTTCCTGGTAGGAGAAATCTGCTTGTCATTTTTAGAGCATTCCAGTCACCACATTCTAATAATAACACAATTAAGAGACTCCCCAAGGGCTTTCGAAGGTTTATGGATTTAAGGAAAACGAACCGGAGCCTTCAAGGTTTCTGAAAAAGAATGGGTGGCCTTGAAAACATTGTTGTAAATTAAAACTCAGCACCTGAATTTGCCAACACACCTCAGCTCTGTGCCTGAGCTCCAGAGCTGAAAAATCGCTGTCGGTGTTTTCTCTTTAACCCCCTGAACATGATTCCTAATTAATCTTAGACATTAATAATATTCTCTGTTGTCTTGTCCCAGAGAGTGACAGTTCTGAGTCTTCATTAAAGAAAGACCTATAAAACACTCACCTTGAATTTTGAGGCCAAGGTGATGCTAACTTTATAAGCACGACCTTGTGGAGGTTGGAGTGGTAATGTAAGTCACATCTTGCGGCATCTCTGGAATGCAGATTATTCATCGAGCCGCGTTTAACACGTCTTTTTTGAAGGGAAACGTTGGACCGAATGTTTTGGTTCTTCTGCAGTTGATGCACAAACCTTTGGGATCTTTTTATCTGTCGACTTTATAGTCACACAGATTCACGGCATGCAAGTTCATCTTCAGACAATTTAGCTTTTTAAATATTGTCAGATGACAGCAGCTGATCCAGATCTTGTTGGGAGGAATGGGCTGAAATCTTTTTTTTCTACATTTTGTTCATGAATGTGTGGTTTAAAATAACATTTTAAGTCTGTTTTAAACGTGGGACGATCCTGACTGAATTAAGGTGCGGTGTGTTATGATGGATCTGGATGGGCTTTGTTAAGTCTGATCCTTTCCTGATGTTAAAAAGTGTTTCGTGCCTCAAAATAAACGACTGGTTCACTGGGAAACAACTGGAAACGCTGGTTATTCCAACTGTAAATGATTGAGCTATAATTCGTTTGCTAAAAGTTTTCTTTTACAAAATTCATAGAACCAAAAATCTAGATCTTGTGGGGAAGTGTTCGATTTGCATGCATTCAGGGTCAGACCGCTATCGATGATCGGTTTGTCCCTGATCAAAATAGAGTTATCAGAAATGGACTCATCAGCTTGATGTCAGTCTCACATGCAAACATTCATGCAGATATAATTGTTTGTATTTTTGCAGCGAAACAGTGAATAAACACTCAGTTGAAGTTATGGCATTAGAAGGAGTTTGTTTGTCTCTGAAAGACTGAACCTGCCTCTGGCTTGGACTGTTTGTCTGTGTGGCCTTTACAGCACATTGATAGGTCCTGACCTTACATTTCCCTTCAAAATGCAGCAGTCAGGGGATCAGGCTTTTAGACGATCAGGGTTTTACAAGGTCGAGCGCAGATTTCTGTATCGCATTTTCAACATTAAGCTCTTAGAGTTATCCATAACGACGCACAGAGAGCTCAGAGGCACAAAAAACATCCAGTCGCAAGAAGGTTGAAGGGTCAGCGCTGCAGAGACCTGATAATTCTCCTGAGAGAGGAGTGATGTGGAAAAGGAGTGAAAGCCAAGAAAAGCCGAAGAAGGAAGAAAAGGGATTTTTTTTTTTTTTTAAGAAATGGGAATGAATAGTCGGTGGAGAGAATGTGA